GAAACTGGCCCTCCCGCTGTACTTCTCAGAGACTTCAACCTCCAGACGGGGAAGATAGACGAACTAACATCTCTGTTAACCGCCTTTGCTTTCTCACTGTCTCCGTCCCCACCGACTCATAAAGCTGGCAATGTCCTTGATCTCATATTCTCAAGGAACTGCACTACTTCTAACCTCTCTGTAAACCCGCTCCACACATCCGATCACTTCTTCATTTCATTCTCTCTATCCCTTTCCAAACATAACAAACTAATCTCTTCTCATCCTGCACTTGTCCGCCGTAACCTTCGCTCCCTCTCCCCCTCTACCTTTGCCTCGTCGGTGCTCTCAGCCCTCCCTTCCTCTGACTCGTTCCAACTCCTGCCTCCAAACTCTGCTGCAGAAACTCTCCTCTCTACTCTCTCATCCTCTCTGGACTCTCTCTGTCCTCTCACATCTCGGCAGGCTCGTCAGTCCCCTCCTGCTCCCTGGCTAAATGATGCACTGCGTGCTAATATAACCGTCCTTCGGGCAGCAGAGCGGAAATGGTGGAAATCCAAACACCGTGACGACCTCCTAACCTATCAAGCTCTCCTCTCCTCTTTCTCTGCTTCGATCTCTCAGGCAAAAAGCACTTTCTTTCAAGATAAGATCCAATCTTCCTATTCCAATCCTAAAAAACTATTTTCCATCTTCTCCACCCTCTTGGACCCTCCAAAAGCTCCTCCCCCCTCCTCACTTCTGTCAAGCGACTTTGTTACCCACTTTGAAAAAAAGGTTGATGATATTCGCTCTTCTTTTTCTGACTCACCTTTACTCACCGCTGGGTCACCAGACCCTCCTTCCACCAACACACTAACCTCCTTTTCCCCTCTCTCTCCAAGTGAGGTTCTCACCTTCATTACCTCTGCCCGGCCTACCACCTGTCCTCTGGACCCTATCCCTTCAAACCTCCTTCAGACTATCGCTCCTGATATTCTACCGTTTCTCACCCATTTCATCAACACTTCTCTAACTTCTGGTCACTTTCCAAACAGTCTCAAAGAGGCAAGAGTAAACCCTCTCCTAAAGAAACCCACTCTCAACCCGTCTGATGTTATAAACTACAGGCCTGTCTCTCTCCTCCCGTTCCTGTCTAAATCACTTGAACGCGCTGTCTTTAAACAACTCTCCTGTTATCTCAATCAGAACAACCTTCTGGATCCGCACCAGTCTGGTTTCAAGGCAGGTCACTCCACAGAAACTGCTCTCATTGCTGTCACGGAGGAACTGCACACTGCCAAAACTGCATCCCTCTCCTCTGTCATCATCCTGTTGGACCTGTCTGCTGCATTCGACACGGTGAATCATCAGATCCTCCTTCGCACTCTCCAAAAACTTGGAGTTTCAGGCTCTGCACTTTCCCTCCTCACCTCATACCTGAAAGACCGTACCTACAGGGTGACTTGGAGAGGGTCTGAGTCCGACCCTTGTCAATTAACTACGGGGGTCCCTCAGGGCTCTGTTCTTGGTCCCCTCCTCTTCTCCCTGTACACAAACTCGCTCGGATCAGTCATTAGCCCGCATGGTTTTTCTTACCACTGCTACGCTGACGACACCCAATTAATTCTGTCCTTTCCCCGCTCAGAGACCCAGGTCGTTGCACGCATCTCTGCTTGTCTAGCTGACATCTCTCAGTGGATGTCTGCTCATCCCCTCAAGCTCAACCTTGACAAGACTGAGCTGCTCTTCCTTCCGGGAAAAGATTGTCCCACTCTTGACCTAACAATCAACATCGGCACCTCAGTTGTTTCCCCGACTCAGACTGCAAGGAATCTGGGTGTGACCCTAGATAACAACCTGTCCTTCACTGCAAACATAGCTGCTACAACCCGTTGCTGCAGATACACGCTTTACAACATCAGGAAGATACGTCCCCAGCTGACACAGAAAGCGACTCAGGTTCTGGTCCAGGCTCTCGTCATCTCACGCCTAGACTACTGCAACTCCCTCCTGGCTGGTCTACCTGCATGTGCCATCCGACCTCTGCAGCTCATCCAGAATGCAGCAGCTCGTCTGGTCTTCAACCTTCCTAAATTTTCCCACACCACGCCGCTCCTCCGCTCCCTTCACTGGCTTCCGGTAACTGCTAGAATCCACTTCAAGACACTGGTACTTGCTTACCATGCTGCGAATGGATCTGGCCCTTCCTACATCCAGGACATGGTTAAACCGTACACCCCAGCGCGTGCACTACGCTCTGCATCAGCCAAACGACTCGCTGCGCCCTCGCTGCGAGGGGGACCCAAGTTCCCATCAGCAAAAACACGTGGGTTTGCTGTCCTGGCTCCAAGATGGTGGAATGAGCTCCCCATTGACATCAGGACGGCAGATAGCTTGCACATCTTCCGGCGCAAACTGAAAACTCATCTCTTTCGACTCCACTTCGAGCGATAGAACTATTAACGAAGCACTTTTATACTAATAAAGGACTGGCTTACCTAAAGCCAGTTGAGTAGCACTTGAAATGTTTTTGCTCTATGAAACCTGATGTACTTATATGATTCTGTTTTCTTCAAGTTGTATTTTGTTGAACGAACGCACTTATTGTAAGTCGCTTTGGATAAAAGCGTCAGCTAAATGCAATGTAATGTAATAATGTAATGTTGCCTCGATGTGACGGATACGCTGAGTGGTATTGGTTGGTTGTGATGCTCACATAAATAAGATGACATTGAAAGCAATGTTACCAAAGTGAGATAATGAGTTGAATTTGTGGATCACATACAGTAGTTAGACTGGTTGGGCTTGAGGAATTTACTAAGAAAAGAACAATGATGTATTAATGAAGGTTACAATAATAATGTCTATCGTTTAAATGTGCTCATCTTTAAATATTCTGATAGTGTTTAATAAAATAACACAATAAGGAAATGTGTTTGCTTCACTACTGTAAAAACACTGAGGTGTGAATGAAGCGTCACAAACACAATAGGTTTAATATCTACATGTCTGACTTCTTTAAATTCTTTATAAGTGTGTTGTATTTGTTTGTTTTTTGTGGACATTTCAAAACTACAGGATTAGGACAGTTGTCAGAACCTAAATGAACGGTAAATAAATAACATGGACTCTCAGTACAGTTACAATAATTTCTCATGACATGTTGACAACTCCAGCACAGTGTAGTGCTTACTATACTGATGAGCATCCCTTTAATCCCCTGACAGTCTGCCGGCCTGAGTGTCAACTTCATCTCGGGTGACTTTTGAAACGGTAGACACTTCAAAGAGAACATCCTAACATTAGCTGCAAAGATAACAATGTAACGTCACCGCATAAAACACATCCTGACACATCATTTCCCTCTCATTAAAGCCAGCACAACAGGCAGTTGACGTAAGAATCAATGTCAAAGTTAATTTTAGCAGAAGGAAAAGAGACATATAGCTAATATTAGAGACATGTATGAGAGAGATAATGTGAAAAGGAGACGTTTAGGTGTTTATCTTGTCGTGTAGGAGGTGATAGACTAGACTGATCATGCCTGATTAAAATAACAACACCATGAGAATATAATAGAGATGCAATGGGGTTCTGGTAAAAGGCAAATGCAGTATATTCACATGTCATAAAGACCACTATACTGTAGGATAGAGAAGTATGTCTTCTTCAAAAGGGAGACACCGTCAATAATGCAGAATTCAGATCTTCTCTCTTTTCAGCCCCATTTTCTGACTCTGCATCTTTTCTGAGTGGAGTGCAGTCTTGTACTTTGCCCCTCTGTCTTGCCTCTGCTCTTTTTCACCTTCTGTTTTTGTGGTGATTTTTTATTTTTGTGGTGATGTGACCCTCCTTTTTTTAGGCCGCTATTTGTGTCTTCATTAATAAATGCATGTGTTGCATTCACTGTGCAGAGCCTGAACGGGGGACATCTTACTTCTTCCTTCTCTCTGTCTATACCTGTGTACTCTCATGTTCCGATTAACCCAGCTTCCCCACATTTCTTTCTTTTTGGTGTCTATATACGCCGGGATCCGGAGTCATGGATGATCCTGCGCTCCTCTGTCCTGGATCGCGAGCCCTGGATCGCGAGTCGTGGCTGTGGTCCTGGATCATAGGTCCTGGATGGATATCCTCGTGGATTAATCTTCCTATTATACACACATGCATTTCCAAACATTTGGACTACCTATGTTGCAAATGTATTATCTTTTCGATTTACACACGGCATCTATTGCACGTATGTCCGTCCTGGGAGAGGGATCCCTCCTCTGTTGCTCTCCCTGAGGTTTCTCCCATTTTTCCCTTTAAACTGTGGGTTTTCTCCGGAAGTTTTTCCTTGTACGATGTGAGGGTCTAAGGACAGAGGGTGTCGTATTGTCATACTGATATTCTGTACAAACTGTGAAGTCCACTGAGACAAATGTAACATTTGTGATATTGGGCTATATAAATAAACATTGATTGATTGATTGAACCCGTTTTTCCTCTACTAGCTCACATTGTGTATAGCTTTGCAACAAAAAGCATTCATCAGAGGCAAATCAGCTCTTGCTCCAGCGATAAATGCACTGTTTCAGTTTTCAAAGCCGTGACCGGAGAGATGCTGCGATGCCTCACAGATACAGGGCGAGGAAAATATCAAGAGGAGGAATCAAAATCATTTATGTACAAATGTTCCTCCAATTCTCTGCAGCTTTCGTTTTCTTAATAATTTCTTCCTCCATATTATTTTGTTGTTTTTCTCGTTGCAATCAGCGCACAAACATCCTGGATCGCTAGCTTCCTGCAGACTTCCATTTGTTCTCATTTTCTCTTTCGGCTGCCACAGTATTGGTTCAATTCTGATAGCATCATCTGCCTCCAAGTGTGCAATTCATGATACAATTGTTTTTTGTGAATAATAAATGAATAATGACTTTTTTTAAGATTGGAATGATTTGTCTCAAAGAGTATATCAGACTTAAATGTAGATTTGAAACATGGAGTTGTTTTATTTTGCCTTTCTTTCATCAGATGTGTGTTTCTTATTGTTCTAGGCAGGCCAATGAGGAGTACCAGGTCCTTGCAAACTCGTGGCGTTACTCATCTGCATTCTCCAACAAGCTCTTCTTCACGGTGGTGGACTATGATGAGGGGGCTGATGTTTTCCAACAGGTAATTATTTAATTCCTAAATGGAAAATGTCCCCCTGCATCCTTTATTTTCTTCCCTCCAGCCTTTCCTCAGCCCTCTGCTTGGCACACCTCTCACATTAGGTGGGTCTCTCACCCTCACCAAACCCTTCACTTTAATGAAACCCATTCACACAGTAATGCGACAGCCACAGTAAACCCTAGTTAGCTTAGCATTGTGTTGACTGTTGTCACATGATATAGTGTGTTTCCTATTAGTATAGTGTTGTGTTGACTGTTTGCTCCATGTTACAGCTGTGTTTCTTAAACATTATAAAATAAACGCCTATAATATACCTAATTCCATACTGGGGTGTGTTATTTCCTTCTACCCTAGAGAGGACGTAACACCATATTACACGTTGTGCTGTTTAGGTGTGTATAAATACTCTGTCTGTGTATGCTTGTTTTGGTTTGTACCTGCCCTTTGTTTATGTGTCCATGTATGCCTTTCTGCCTTTTCAGGATGTTGCGTTTCATTGTTTTCTTTTGTTGTGCGTGCTTTTTGCCTTTTCCTCTAAGGTTTTTTTCTGTAAGGTTAATTGCTGCTGAAGTCCATCTTGACAATAATGGGAAGGAAGAGGGAGATTGGAGAATGGGAAGCAAACTGACTTTGCCCTTGAATTTTGGCCCCAGAATATTTCTTCGATTTTCAGCCATGGCAATTAACAAAGGGAGTTTTTTTTCTTCTGCTGTTTGCAGCTAGAAATAATATCTTAAGCATTCTAGCAAGTCCTTAGATCAAATAATCCTAGGGCACAGAACAGTAATTAGCCTTTGGTGTTAAATGTGTTTTTCACAAGGAACATTTATATAATATTTAATATTTAATATTCCATCTGTCACATACTTATGTATATATAATACCTTGCTTTATATCCTGTTATTGTTAATTTGTAAATTCAACATGTATATTTTCTACTTTCTTGTTTATTTCTTGTCTTTTAATTGTGATTGTACAATGCCATGTCTTTTTATGCTGCTGCAACACAAACATTTCCCAAATTGGGATCAATAAAGCCCTATCTTTTCTTATCTTATACCTTTTTGAGTAAATGTACATTCTTATTTGTGTACAGCTCCTTCTTCTTATCTTTAATAGAGCTGTAACCAATGATGCCTAATGTGTCATCAGTCACTGGCTTTGACATAAACAATGGGTCAATAATAATATATATTAGCTTGTTTGCAGTGCAATAAACTATCATTTATTGTTATGACTTGAAAATGATTGATGACTGAGTAAAGCCTGCCTAATTAGAAGACATGACCACTCCTGTCAACAGTGTTAAATATGAAGACAGAAGACCATTTTATTTATCTTATGATCCAATGACAGGCTTTGAAGCGAAGACAAGCAGACTCAAATAGCAGACTCTTGTGTGCTGTCATATTAATGGACTACTGTGGACTAGGGGTGTTGAAAATAATCGTTTCTACGATGCATTGCGATGCGGACGTGGACAATTCGGTCTCGATGCAGTGACGGAAGATAATCGGTTATAGCGTAGTAACGTTGCTTCCTGATTTTCCGGCCGCGGCTTTACTATAACGTTTTTGTTTTCCTGTCACTTTAATATCAAATCGGTCGGTGACGCAGAGATCAGGGAACAGACGTGACAGCGGCACAGCAACAACAAACACGGAGCAGTCTGCTTTATCCACCAACACAACACCACCAGTCCAGAACCAACAGCAGAAGGACCCGCTCTGAATCACTCCGTGTCGCTGCGGCACAGGGATTTATGTTTTTCAAAAATAATCGCGTTACAATCATGTCAGGTTTTTGGTGGATTTAATTAAGTCTTGGATTGCAAAGTATGAATGTCCTCTAGCAATTTTCAGACGATATATACCTGTGTAAAGTTTGTGAAGGCAGGAGGAAAAAAGCTTACGCGATCACCGTCTCCTCTCCGTTCCTCCAAACCCCGCCCCCTCCCTGAAAATAATGAGTGACAGGCTGACAGTGACCCGATAGAAACTTTATTATTCACTTAATCACTGAGATATGATGAAGCTAATTTAATCTCATACATTCATGGGATTTATGTAACAGTAAGACAGAGAATGTAAGTGTGCACCCACATGCACTATTTTTGTTTGTATATGCTGTTGTAAATACTCCTGTTGTCTGCTGTGTTCAGACTCAAGTCCTGTGTGTGATGCCACATTCAGGACATTCAGTGTCCTTTTTTTAACAGAAGACCGTTGCTAGAAGCTGCAGCTAGACTGCAGAAGCATTATTTGTTTGTTTTTGAGGATGGAACAACTTCACACACAGATATAGGGAGGCTAGACCTATACAATTCATTTATTTTGGTTTATAAATGAATGTCAAGACATTTATGTTATTGTTTTCTGAAGCACTTTCTAAATAATAAAAAGAGAGTTCATATGTATTTACTGCATGTATGCATTGATGAAAAATAAGCCATGTGCAGTAATATAGAAAATTGAGGATGCAACGCATTGGTATGAATCGTGATGCATCGGGATATCGAATTGAATCGAATCGTTGACAGGATAATCGTAATTGAATCGTGAGACCAGTGAAGATGCACAGCCCTACTGTGGACACATGTAGGCCTACTGGCACATACTGCATTGTGTTGAACCAATGAAACCAACATGGAGACGATGGCTGGGCACAAAATAGAGACAAAAATATATAATTTGAAATACAATCTTTATATGTCTTTGCACTTTGGTATCAAAGCTAATTAACTTTAGTGATATTTGTATTACTACAAAACGTTGTTTCTCTGTGTTTCCCTCTGGTGTGGTTTCTCTATTATATGAGAGATGCAAGACAAGTCGAAAAGTTATCTTCAACAGCAGCAAATAGCTCCTGTCAGCAAGCACTGTTGGCTAAACACAGAAAATTCAAAATTACAAAGGTAAATTCCCAGTTAGCCCTTTTTTATTATATTCTCTCAGAACTTTAAATAGCAGTCCTCTGTTAAAAATAGCCTGGTTTTCTTCTTCTTCCTTTATCTATTTTAGACCACTTAGTCCAGGAACGATAACATTAAAGCAGTATTCTATATGGTCCTTTAAACATTGTTTATTTTTCTTCCTACTTGCTATTGTGAAATATATTGTTTTCTTTTATGGGTTTAATTATTATTCATGCCCTCTGGATGTCTATTGACTCTCGTACCTTCCCTCAAGGTTTTTTTCTTTTCACGATTCTATCCACATCTCTTCTTCTCATACAACAATTCTAGCAAAGTTTTATTAAAAGTGAATTACATTCACATCCTTTTGTTCTTTTTTCTTGCCCATGCATGAATGCAGATTTTTGTATTTGTGTTCATGAACATGTGTTTGCATCTACACGTACAGAACTTTAACACTAAGAGCAAGAGGGTGACTACTCTGAAACAGAACTTTAAACTGTTTCAATTAAAAAAGCCACAAAAAAAATCTAAACTAAAATAAAATGTTACCCAAGACGTGATCAATGATAGAGATCTGTGAGACATATGATGCTAAAGTAAACTCTAAAGAAGTAAACCTAGAAGACTTAAATCTGTTTATTAAGACAATCCTGCTGCTGCTTCTGCTGATATGTTTGACAGGTCAGAGATGACATTAACTTGACATAACCCTCATTATTTTGCTCTTTCTCTGTAGTTGAACATGAACAGCGCTCCAACCTTCATGCATTTCCCGGCGAAGGGAAAGCCCAAGAGAGCCGATACGTTTGACCTGCAAAGAATTGGATTTGCTTCAGAGCAGCTGGCCAAGTGGATTGCAGACCGCACAGATGTTCAGGTACCACTCACACATTCACACATTCTTTAAAAAAAAATCATTAACAGTTGGGTAGGGCTGCTCGATTATGGCAAAAATCTAAATCTCGATTATTTGGGTCGATAATTGATATCACGATTATTATAAACGATTATCCATTTACTTTGAAAACATCCATTTATTGGAGAAAACTAATTTGAACAGTATGTTTTTAACAGTTGATTACCCTGAACTTTAAGTATAATTCATCTGAAAAACCAATAAAAAAAAAATTATTATTTGAAGAAAAAAATAAATAATTTGTTTTATTTCGATTACGTTGTTTTCGTAATCGTTGCAAGCCATAATCGTAATTGCGTTTTAAAATACGATGAATTGAGCAGCCCTATAGTTGGGACATATGTGGATTTTTGTATACATACAAAGGGAATTGTTGGAACATATATTACATTACATTGCATTTAGCTGACGCTTTTATCCAAAGCAACTTACAATAAGTACATTCGACCAGGAAGACACAACCTTGAAGAAAACAGAATCATAAAAGTACATCAGGTTTCATAGAGCCAAACATTTCAAGTGCTACTCAACTGGCTATAGATAAGCCAGTCCTTTATTAGTATATAAGTGCTTTGTTAATAATTCTATCGCTCGAGGTGGAGTCGAAAGAGATGAGTTTTCAGTCTGCGCCGGAAGGTGTGTAAGCTATCTGCTGTCCTGATGTCAATGGGGAGCTCATTCCACCATTTAGGAGCCAGGATAGCAAACCCACGTGTTTTTGCTGATGGGAACTTGGGTCCCCCTCGCAGCGAGGGTGCAGCGAGTCGTTTGGCTGATGCAGAGCGTAGTGCACGCGCTGGGGTGTACAGTTTAACCATGTCCTGGATGTACGAAGGGCCAGATCCATTCGCAGCATGGTAAGCAAGTACCAGTGTCTTGAAGTGGATTCTAGCAGTTACCGGAAGCCAGTGAAGGGAGCGGAGGAGCGGAGTGTTGTATGAAAATTTAGGAAGGTTGAAGACCAAACGAGCCGCTGCATTCTGGGTGAGCTGCAGAGGTCGGATGGCACATGCAGGTAGACCAGCCAGGAGGGAGTTGCAGTAGTCTAGGCGTGAGATGACGAGAGCCTGGACCAGAACCTGCGTTGCTTTCTGTGTCAGCTGGGGACGTATCTTTCTGATGTTGTAAAGCGTGTATCTGCAGCAACGGGTTGTAGCAGCGATGTTTGCAGTGAAGGACAGGTTGTTATCTAGGATCACACCCAGATTCCTTGCAGTCTGAGTCGGGGAAACAACAGAGGTGCCGATGTTGATAGTCAGGTCAAGAGTGGGACAATCTTTTCCCGGAAGGAAAAGCAGCTCAGTCTTGTCAAGGTTGAGCTTGAGGTGATAAGCAGACATCCACTGAGAGATGTCAGCTAGACAAGCAGAGATGCGTGCGACGACCTGGGTCTCTGAGCGGGGAAAGGACAGAATGAATTGGGTGTCGTCAGCGTAGCAGTGGTATGAAAAACCATGCGGGCTAATGACTGATCCGAGCGAGTTTGTGTACAGGGAGAAGAGGAGGGGACCAAGAATAGAGCCCTGAGGGACCCCTGTAGTTAATTGACAAGGGTCGGACTCAGACCCTCTCCAAGTTACCCTGTAGGTGCGGTCTTTGAGGTATGAGGTGAGGAGGAAAAGTGCAGAGCCTGAAACTCCAAGTTTTTGGAGAGTGTGAAGGAGGATCTGATGATTCACCGTGTCGAATGCAGCAGACAGGTCCAACAGGATGATGACAGAGTAGAGGGATGCAGTTTTGGCAGTGTGCAGTTCCTCAGTGACAGCAATGAGAGCAGTTTCTGTGGAGTGACCTGCCTTGAAACCAGACTGGTGCGGATCCAGAAGGTTGTTCTGATGGAGATAACAGGAGAGTTGTTTAAAGACAGCGCGTTCAAGTGTTTTAGACAGGAACGGGAGGAGAGAGACAGGCCTATAGTTTATAACATCAGACGGGTTGAGAGTGGGTTTCTTTAGGAGAGGGTTTACTCTTGCCTCCTTGAGACTGTTTGGAAAGTGACCAGAAGTTAGAGAAGTGTTGATGAAATGGGAGAGAAACGGTAGAATATCAGGAGCGATAGTCTGAAGGAGGTTTGAAGGGATAGGGTCCAGAGGACAGGTGGTAGGGCAGACATACAATCCAAATATAGTTAATAGAAATATAAACAGAAATATTCTTTAAATTGTTTGATTTAAATTGTTTAATTTAAAGGAACTAACTAAGAAAGTAATTCAATTGATGTCAAAATACTTCATTCAAAAATATAGCTATGGTTTTTCTTCCCGTTTACACCATAAACAAACCGTATCAGATTCAGCTAAGAGGTGGTCAGAGACCTACTTTTGCTCAGAAGGATTGTCCGTAACAGCATTTGATTAACAGCCTTTACTTCAGCCTAAACTCCACCAAGTCCACAGATCAATGTCTGTTTACAAGCCTTGTGAAGTACTGCTGCATGTTATTGGAGTGCCTTGATACATTGGTGGAGTAATCCATTAACACACCGCTCCAACAGCCAAACCCACCAGGCGTTTGTTGCAAAGAGCAGGATAGGTCTGAAAGCTTAGATGGATGGCACCAGAAAGATCAAATCCCAACCATCTTACTTTAGTTTATTTTCCCTGAACAACCTGTCAGCCAAGTACAGCTGACATGCTGTTGATGGATCTGGATTCAAAAAGCTGCCATTCAGTGAAGGTCATGGGGAGCACTTACACTAAGTGCTAGCTTTCAGGCACTTCAATGTGACTTAATAGCATGAATTACGAACAGTACAGAAAAGGGGGGAACAAAAGGACAGACATTTGATGAAAAGATTGTGAACTGAATACCTTGGTGTGATTGAGGAATGTATATGCAATTGTTTAGCGGAGTCAGTGTTCACATTCGGAGCCACTAATGTCCAAATGTGACAATAAGTGTATAAGGGGAGTGTGTAAGAGCTTTTACTGTTGTGTTGTGATGAAATATCAGCCATTAAAACTTCTTGGTCTTTTATGTTCTGTTCTTGGATAAAAACCGATATGAATTACTTCATGTACGCTGTCATACACTTTCTTGGATTTCATTTTCAACTACAATTGAATCATAAAGGTGATTTATAGTACATTGTGTTATTCATAAAGCAATCCTTTTTTTCTATTATCCAGATGAAATTAAAGTCTTTAAAAATACAATACAAGGGAAGGTACTACATATTTGATTGTTGCCATTGAACGTACTTTCTATAGTATCTTTAGAAGAGATTCATCCTCACATGTCTGACTTGTTCTTTTCAAACACACATACAGTATCAGCACACACGACTTGTGCCAGAGCCTCAAACCAAGTCTATTATCCTTCTCCCTGAATTATGCATATTGGAATTTAAATTCAATAACACTTAGCAGCAGCAGATGGTAGACACATTTTCACCAACATAATCTGTGTTGGTGACACACACGCCTGTTGGAACATGTTACCCTTGCATCTGTTAATAGCTCACACAGCATGTTGTGAGTTTGGCTTCATGGCCACAAATGCTAACACACACACACACACACACACACACACACACACACACACACACACACACACACACACACACACACACACACACACACAAACACATACACATACACTGACACACAGACAGAAAGATGGTGGGAACAAAACAAACGGAAGTAACAAAATAAAATATTTCAAAATACATTTGCAAATCCATTCCTGAAAAGATCAATATTGAGTTTTTAGGCAAGGCAAGGCAAGTTTATTTATATAGCACTTTTCAACACAAGGCAATTCAAAGTGCTTTACAAAAAATGAAAGACATTAAGAAAAGGGCATTTAAAATCAGTCATTAAAAAGAAAAGATAATAAAATAAACATTAAAAGAAAAAGTACATGGATAAAAGTTACAGTGCAGTCTAAGATATGAATAGTTCAATTAAAAGCAGCGAGAAAAAGAAAAGTCTTCAGCCTGGATTTAAAAGTAGTCAGAGTTGCAGCGGACCTGCAGGTTTCTGGGAGTTTGTTCCAGATATTTGGAGCATAATAACTGAACGCTGCTTTACCGTGTTTAGTTCTGACTCTGGGGACAGAAAGCTGACCAGTCCCTGAAGACCTGAGAGATCTGGATGGTTCATAATTAGTTGTTTCTTTTTCAATATAATTATTTTAAATCCTTCTTAAATTGTGCCCAATGTGCCGCAACTTTCCACTGATTAAACACATTCCAATTGGGGAATAGTTTGGGCTTTTGAAATCATTCGATCTGTTTTAATTAACAAAAAATAGAATCATGATTTGCTTAAACCGTATACAAAAAAAAGTGCCAACCATGCCTTTTACCGTGTTTTTGTTCAAATGACCTTTTGTTGAAGGTAACAGAACATGTTGTACGTATTGGACTTGATTTAAGACTATGCAATGGGATTTATATTTCTTTAAGCTGTCTAAGAGTTGGTAAACACTGGTACTTGCTTACCATGCTGCGAATGGATCTGGCCCTTCCTACATCCAGGACATGGTTAAACCGTACACCCCAGCGCGTGCACTACGCTCTGCATCAGCCAAACGACTCGTTGCGCCCTCACTGCGAGGGGGACCCAAGTTCCCATCGGCGAACTTGGTGTCCTGGCTCCAAGATGGTGGAATGAGCTCCCCATTGACATCAGGACGGCAGATAGCTTGCACATCTTCCGGCGCAAACTGAAAACTCATCTCTTTCGACTCCACTTCGAGCGAAGTACTTTTTTTTTTATACTAATAAAGGACTGGCTTGCCTAAAGCCAGTTGAGTAGCACTTGAAATGTTTGGCTCTATGAAACCTGATGTACTTATATGATTCTGTTTTCTTCAAGGTTGTGTCTTCCTGGTCGAATGTACTTATTGTAAGTCGCTTTGGATAAAAGCGTCAGCTAAATGCAATGTAATGTAATGTAATGTAAACCATATTCTTCATTGAAGATAAAATGGTTTTGAATTTGCTCTTTGGCTCACAATTGGCAGATTTTGACATAGAAGAACAAATATATAATACTTTGTCTGTGTGAGTAGCATCAGAATTTCACTAAGCCTTTGATTTTAATTTAAGAAAGGCAAAACTAGTTTTCCTTTTCAAAGAGATTTGAAATAACCCTTACCCAGCTGTTGGAGCTTTGGAGGTTTTTGTTGGTTAGATAAATTGTTCTCAAAAGTGAAATAACTGTTTACTTCCTGTTGAATGCAGAGAGAGGTTATGTTGAAAACAGAAATACAACCAGTTAAGGTCCACACACACACACACACAGATGTTATTTTCTTTTTTTCCTAATACACGCTGTATTGGAAATGTTTTCACAAAGGGTAAAGGTTCAAGTTTAACTATTTTGTTGAAAACCTGGTTATGTGAATCTGGAGTTCTATAAACGGCTTTAACATGTTATATTTCAAGAAAAGACCATACCATGTTCAAGGTTTGAAAACGTACACAATAGAGTAATACACATGAGTTGTGAGCAAGCCTAGAACACCATTTTGTTGTTTCAAACTAAGAAGGAAAGAATAAAGGATATGTACCTAACCATTTTCAATGCATTGGGTTTTTCATCCAATTATTTTAACTCTGTCTCTCTCCATCTCGCTCTCCGTCCCCACAGATCCGTGTCTTCCGTCCCCCTAACTATTCAGGGACTATTGCTCTGGCTCTATTGGTGTCTCTGGTTGGAGGTCTGCTGTATCTGAGGAGGAACAACTTGGAATTCATATACAACAAGACTGGATGGGCTATGGCTGCACTGGTATGACACACAAATACACGTAAAAAACACATAAACAAAAACACAGTATTTTTACGGTGGGACAATTTTATTCCACTGGGAGAATGGAGAAATGTGCGCCTTCACAAGCCAGAGACGTACTGTAAGTCAAGTGAAACTGCTCTGGGAACAGATTGAGTGGAGTGATCTCACCTCATTAGTAAAATGTTCTTCATGTTTCAACAACACTTTGAGTCTTAAGTCTCAAAGCCATGTTAAGATGGATACATTTCAGAAACTCAGTTAAACATCAGGATAATTATGCTAGTACTCCCATGCTAATCATGTTATTTCTTCATTCTCTGTCCCTCTTTTCTTTTTGTCGCTGCTTTTAATTGAACTATTCATATCTTAGACTGCACTGTAACTTTTATCCATGTATTTTTTCTTTTAATGTTTATTTTATTAGCTTTTCTTTTTAATGACTGATTTTAAATGCCATTTTCTTAATCTCTTTCATTTTTTGTAAAGCACTTTGAATTGCCTTGTGTTGAAAAGTGCTATATAAATAAACTTGCCTTGCCTTGCCTCTTTCTCAATCTCTCTCTCTATCTCTCTGTATTAGTGTGTAGTGTTTGCGATGACATCTGGACAGATGTGGAACCACATTCGAGGTCCTCCCTACGCACACAAAAATCCCCAGAATGGACAAGTGGTATGAGTCATTTTTCCTATGTCTATATATAAACATATCTCAAGTTGTTGTCATTCTTTCTTACTGCCCTTCCATCTATAATTTTCCATCCCATCCATATCTTTGTTGTCCTTCTTTTATCCTCCCCTCTTTTTTCTATTTCTTGTTTTACCTTTTCTTCCTTGAATCTTGCCCTGCAGGCTGCCCTCTTTCCTCTTGACCATTATTCTTGTTTTCTTACATGTGTTTTCAGCCAATACAACAATATTATTCAGGTTAGTACTAATGGGATTTGCATTGTGGTGGGTATTCAATCAATGGAAGGTACACTATGTAAAGCCGTTGGCCCAGAGTAAGATGCACTCTGTACCATTATCACAGCTAACAGGCCAGCGCTGGGACAGTGTGTATTATTGAACACCTGGGAGCATTCAGTGTGTGTTAATATCACCTTGGAGACAAGTCAGAGTCCTCATGGACCATGCAGACAGGAAGGGGGCGAGGGAAGAGAACGTTTCTGTTGCTCTCCAACTAGGTACACACACACACACACACACACACACACACACACACACACACACACACACACACACACACACATAAAAAGCAGAGGGAACAGGGAGGCAGTGCTGTTGATCCTCAGAGTCTTTCTTTCGCTCCCTCCCTCTGTTTTTTTTAACATTTGACACTTATTACCAATATCTGTACTCCACACACACACACACACACACACACACACACACACCCACACACACACACACACACACACACACACACACACACACACACACACACACACACACACACACACACTGCACCTGCAGATTTGGCTGGTCATCATTTAAGTTTGTTCATTCAAGTGTGAAATTAAAATAACAATAAACCTGAGAAAATAAGGGGAGTGTGAGAGAGGAATAAAGTGGAGGACATTTGCCTTAAAAGCTTGATTATGTGTCTCCACTATTATGCAGTCTGATACGTGACACACATGCACACACCCTTCCACAGTGAGTGTTGCATGAGGTCACAGACCCAAAGTATACAAAGCAGTGTTGTCGGTGTACGGTGTAAGTCAATTCAGCTCATGCAGAGACTGAAAGCGATTGGTTTTCCCTGAAGCCAGCACTGCTAGAGAACACCCTCTAACACACAACAGAGGGAAGTGCAAAAACACACGGTCTTACAATAAAAACAATTTTATTTTGTTTTAAAACATCACGACTTTCCATCCTTTATTCCTTGCAGCATGCTCCCGCTCTCATGTTCGGTTTAAAAGTCACTCTACTGCTCAGGCTCTGTTGACTCTCATTTTTCACAACAAATAGGTGACACCCTCATCCTACGTAGCGCTCAGCTGTATCTCCCTGCTGTCACCCCATATTTCTCTTCCTCTGTTATCTCTCCACTACCCTCTCTTTGCCACTTACTTGCCTGTGAAGCGCTATTTTTTAACTGTGAGGACAATCATCTACCGACGTACATGCTACTTTTTGTTGGAGAAAGAAATACAAAGAAAATCCTAATTCATCAAAAAAAGACATGGAATTTCACACATGACACAGAGGCTTCACTTTTTCAGTCTTTGACTATTGATATATTGTACAATTGCACAAACAATATCACTCTTTACAATATATCTGAGAAGATCATGCTGTTTCCTTCTCCGGCTCATCAGTTGATTCCTCCTTCCTTATTTCCCTCCTACTGCTTTCTTTTCTTCTCTTTGCCCCCCCTTCCCCTCTCTCACATATCTGTCTGTCCTCATGCCATCTGGTAGTCTTCATAAGAATGAAGTGCAGTCAGCTAGTGTGAAATACTCCTTCCTGCTTTCTAGTATTTCCCTCTCTTCCGCTCTTGTTCTTGGCTTTGTACGAGCTGAGCAGAACGATGAGGGCAGCATTAAAGCTTTTGACATAGTGAAGTGTTTAAAGAACATTTTGGATTAAGACTGAAATTAAATCCCTAACAGTGACGAGCGGTAGCCATAGGCATCTGTTTCAAATGCAGAGGTGCATGGGTCATAAATGATTTAATAGTGAGCATACAGAAAAACAAATGATACAAGATAGGAGCTAAAATGCTTAAGAGCTGGCAGAGGGACCGTTTTATGCTCTGTTCCAGCTTGGAGGCCGAATACTATAAAACGTAAGGCTTTTATACTCTGTGATTGATTGTAGCAAATGAAAAGTTACAAATTATGATTAATCTTCATTTATTTATGTAAAAAAACACTGCATGTTGTGTTTGTTTCTTCACCGAAATAAATGTGTCATTAGTGACCACTGCAAACATCCATGCGTGCACCTTGGAAGTCAAAATAACAAAAGTAACCAACTTCACAACCAAGCTCCTTATATGTAAATCACGAAATCTCAGCACTCTAAGTTTATACTCCTTTTGGTTTATATGTTATTAACCATTTGGATATTTTTGTCCTTATAAAAAGCAATGTCGGCAAGTGGGAAATATATAAGTAATATTCTCACAGTCATAATGGTTTCATACTGCAATTTAACACCAACATGGACACTGTCGAGATTCACTCCCTCCCACATAAGATGAAGTTAAATATTAAGTGATCTACCTTCAATTTCCACTTTATTAGGTATTCCTGTCAGTCAAATGCTCCCCAATATCTACCTTGCAAAAATGTCAACACTATGTGAACAGCATGAGCTTTTTAAAGATATCAAATATGGCAGAGCTTTTGTATTATATTATAAAGGTTAAAATAATAAAAGGAACACATCGTATGAACCTAATATGAAAAACCTAGAGAGCTGGCTCCATAAGGCTATAACCTGCTCCAAAGTCCCCTACAGCTTCACCTTAATCATCCCTCTTTAACAGCAGGATCCGCATTGATAATAGTGGCTTTGACATTTTCTTCATCTTCCATGCCACATTGCTATTTTCTTGTGAAAAAAACGCTGCAGAGATAGGTTCATTAGATCTTCTGCAAATGGCCCTCATTTATCTCTTAGTTCCTCTGTCCCTTCACATATTCTCCACATACATCCTCCACCTTTTGCACTCTTTAAATCCCTCTTTTTCACCTCCGATAGCAAATGGGTTGAACTGGCCAGATGATAGTAAAAAGATACCTGCCTTATCTTTTTCCAGTACATCTCTCCTCTTTTCGTGTTACTTCCTCTCAACTCCCCGTCTAATCTTCCACCCTCCTCTCCCTCCCTCTCTTCCCAGACAGTGTAATTCCTTTAAAATGATGAGAGAGCCGGGCCAGGTAGACTGTAGTGAAAGGATTTGTCAACTGACGAATGGAACGACCAAGCAGATTAAATTGTAGTGAGCGTTTTACTGTGCAGCCAAGAAAATACTGCTAGCCCATTTTTGCTCTGGAACTCAACACATACACTCTGTATGCAAAATGCACTTGTGTAGGTCTTTTATACATGAATATGTGTCCCCGGTGTGTCAAAAACACAACCCTCTCTCTTTTCCTCCATACCCAAATCTCTAAAGACGGGGCTGCAACGGATCTGATACAGACTGATCCAGATTTTAAATATCTCTGACGTCAGAAACGGGGTGCTCCGCCTATATGGGCAACTCTCCACCTATCAGGGGAATGAGAGGTTGCCGTGGCATGGTAACAGCATGGTAACAGCATGGTAACATGACTCTCATGCCTCGCCCCCCTCCTTTGCAGGGGGGCGTGGTCAGCTGCAGCTCATTTGCCACAGAATCAGCTCTTGTGAAGACAGGGCTGGAATAGAGCAAATAGAGTGAAATGAGGTATGGCTAAAATGCATGATCTGTTTGCTATTTTGAAAAAGAAACTTCACAGACATGTTTTATATAGGTATGGCCCTACAATATATTATTCAAATATAGCATGATAGGTCCACTTTAAGATACACACTCACCCACATGAAACAAACATAAGCCTTTACACAGCTATTATTACAAACGGGCACACAGAATTTAGCCAAACCCAAATATTAGACAAACCCTATCAGAATGTTGCAAGCAGCAACAAACACACACAGTCACACACACAGTCGCACACACAGCTGACTGGATTTTGAGGCGCTTGGGTTTGAAGGAGGGATTGAATGGTGAACGTTTTGTATTGAACATTGTCTTGAACAAGTTCTATTATTAACTGTCTCACAGAAAGGGGATCTTGGGGAAACGAACGGGCTGCTATTATTAAGCATTTAAGCCAGCATTTAACCTATGACCACACTATTGACTGATGACATTTCAGTATCTCCAGCTGATTTCACATGATTTGGTTGATGTCTTTTGGCAGCTGTTGGCAGTAGCCATCTCGACATTACTGCTAACCTTTCATATTATATAGAATCTCCCCTGTCACTTTTATTGGCTCTTTGCAAATTGTTGACTTTTGACTTACAGTGTGTGTTAGTAAGTGTGAGTGCTGCTTTACGTTTTGCGTTGCCTGCACACCTGTTTGTGTATGTGAGAGAGATCATTTGTGACAGTATGCATTTTATCGGGGAAGGGATTTATTGTGTGTTTGTCTGGGTGTTTTAAGCCAACACAGAAATAATGGAATAGAATAGTAAAGCAGTGAAATAATTGATCGTTTCAAATCAGACACTAACCATCCCTCTCTAACTCCACGGTTACATCCCCAGACGCACAACATCATTGGAACATTTTCTAACTAGTAATTAAGAACCACATATCAAACACATTTGTCCTGGGGAGAGAAAGAATGAGAACATGAGAGCAGATTGGTGTAAAAAGAAAAGATGGAATAGATGGGGAGATTACAGGTAACACACTAGCCAGTCACAATAGCCCTCTAACTATGCTCCTGCATATCTCTCTGTGCTGGGCTTTTACTCCTTTTGGCCTTTTGTTCTCAGGGTTGTTCATTATTAACCTACATTATAAAGAGTTGCTGAAGAGAGAGAAAAGCTCTCTTGTCTACCTACCTGTCGTTTAGCAAGCTGGTTATCTCTCTTTCTAATGGGACAATAGTTTCACGACGGCTCACATTCCTAGTTCAGAGTCGACCTTGATGATTC